CCTGCCTTCCCAGCAGGCATTGCGCCGGCGCATCCCCATGATGATGGCTCTGCGTGTAGGAGAGGCGGTCCGACCTCGAGGCTTTTGGGCTTCGCCTGACCTAGACTCATAGGTAGGGCTACAAAGGCTGCATCTGCTCTCAGCCGTCCGCCTTTCTCCTCGCTGCTGCTCTCCGAGTCCCCTTCCCGCTTTCCTACCTCAGCCTTGGCCACAGGCCCTGTCACCCCAGCGACCACCTGAGGGGCCGAGCTCTAGGGACTCCTTCACAAGGGCTGAGGTAACTCTGCGGGAAAGGGAGGGAATCCTTTCCCTGGAGGCTTTACCTGAAGCAGGGTCACAGCCACGGATGTATCTTCCTCACCGTCAGACTTCCCCAGTCCTCCTCTGGCCTCCCTGCCTTCCCAGGGGGAGCTGTGTGGCCCTTCCATGGCAGGAACTGAGGAGCCCTGACCCAGAGAGTTTTCCCTGAGGGCTTTACCTGACTGAGAGTTCCTGCAGAGGCTCCTGCTCACTTTCAGGCTCATTGCTACTGTCTGACTCCTCTTCTGGCTTCTTGGCCCTCCCAGCTAGGGTCAGGGCACTTGCTCTGACCTGGGGTGCCCCTCATCCCCAGTGGCTTAGGGCTGCCCTTCTTGCAGGAGACTTCTCGTCAGGGACGGAGGAGACTTTGACCTGGGCTGGCTTTTCTGAGGGATTCACCTTCACGTCTGTCTAACTCATCACTTGAGCTGGAAGGTGCCCTCCCTAGAGCTATCAGCCTGACTGGCTAACACCACTCCAGGCTTGGCAACCGCTTTGAGGGCTGGGACGCTGCCCTCCTCAGTTTCTAAGACAGAGATCGTATTTTTTCTTTTTTTTTTTTTTAAAGAGAAATTTTTGCTGTAGGGCATTTGCGCTTACCAGATAGACAGACAGAAAGCAAGAAATCACTCCCAAGCAGAATGGTCACACCGTAATTCCTTTTCCTTCAGTCTCCTCTTGGGATTTTGGGCCTGCAGGCTAGTCCTGGGTTTCAAGCCATGGGATCTGGTTCTCAAACAAGTCAAGTCATGTGGGAATCCAACTATGTAACCACCATGCCACTTATTGGTCCCAAGAAAGTTCCAGAAAGTGATTTCTCACTTTCTGTCTCTGTCGTCCTCTGTCTTTCTTGTGAGCACACACGTCCTATGACTATTTGCACAGGGCTCTGCTGACTTCCAGAGGGATCTTCCAGAGAGGAAGTGGGCCACTGCCTTCCCAGAGACAGGTTGTGGCATGGAATTCAATGTCTCGCCAGCCTTCTTGGCCTTTTCTGTGGCTTTTCCTTTTGTGTTTGATAATATATCTGCCCCAGTGACTGAGGAATTGGTTAACACTAGTCTACCAACTTTGGCAGTTTCTGTATCTGCCTCTTTTAGGACCTCTCTTGAGTTGCTAATGGGTCTGACACACAGGTCTTGGCTTGAAGAGCTGAGTCCTTCCTTGCCTTCTGCTTCTGGCCAAGCTCTGAGGTTTGTTGCCAGTGGGTATTGTGTTCACAAGCATTGTAGACTGAGTCAGGAAAGTATTTCTGGCCTCTTTGCTCCACTTTCAGCACTGCTCATACATAGCCTGCCTGTAGCAGATGCTGGTCTGGGCCATGCAGGTCACCCCAACCACTTGCCACACCTGCACTCCTCCCACCCAGACCCTGCCTGCCACTTCTTTCTTGCCCTTAAACCTTGTGCACCGCACTTACAGTGCCTCATTCCCAGTTAGAGGATTTTAAATGACTAGACTATTCTGCCAGTTTCTGTTATCGTACTGCTATGTAACCTTTATCATTTAGCTTATCACCTTTTCAAAATGTACGATTCAATTTTAATTGGAAAAAACTGGGTAAGATTCATTGGCCTAATACATATTAATACACACTAAATTCTGAAGAAGAATTTTTAAAAAATCATTTCTTTGGGGATCAGAAGTTGGTGTAATGGCTATGTCACTGGACTCGCATGTAGTTGACTGCAGTTTGAGTCCCAGACCCGGTGGCTTAAAGACACACAGGGCGTGGTGTGTGCATGCAAGCCCAAGATTCTTTATTTATTTTTTTCTTTTTTTGAGAGGTTTTTACTATAGGGCACGTGCGCTCGCCAGACAGACAGAGAGACAGAGGGATAGAAAGCGAGAAATCACCCCCCAGGGGGGATGGCCACACCGCAATCCCTTCTCTTCCATTCTCCTCTCAGGATCTTGGGCATGCACGCACACACACACGCCCAGCGTGAGTTTTAAGCCATTGGGACCGGGACTCGAATCACAGTCAACTACGTGGGAGTCCAGCGACATAGCCATTACTCTAACTGCTGGTCCCAGCATGCCCAAGGTTCTAAGAGCAGAATAGAGGAGAAGGGATTGCAGCATGGATTGGAGATGATTTCTCACTTTCTATCTCTCTGTCATTCTCTTTCTGGTGAGCACACATGCCCTATAGCTAAAACCTCTCAAAAAAAAAAATTTTTACAGGGACCAGCAGTTGGCATAATGGCTCTGTCGCTGGACTCCCATGTAGTTGACCACTGTTTGAGTCCCAGACCCAGCGGCTTAAACTCATGCTGGGCACATGTGTGTGCGTGCATGCATGCCCAAGATCCTGAGACAAGAATGGAGGAAAAGGGATTGCGGCATGACCATCCCCCACCCCCCCGCACAGTGATTTCTTGCATTATGTCTCTCTGTCTCTCTCTGTCTTTCTGGAGGGCACACGTGCCCTCTAGCAAAAACCTCTCGGGGACCAGCAGTTAGCGTAATGGCTGTGTTGCTGGACTCCCATGTAGTCAACAGCGGTTTGAGTCCCGGACCCGGTGGCTTAAAACTCATGCCAGGCACGTGTGCATGCGTGCCCAAGATCCCGAGAGGAGAATGGAGGAGAAGGG